TGACTATTATCCATATTCTGTACTTGAACAAGATAATGAAAAAATAAGTCATTTTTCATATGGTCTTATTATATTTAACGATGACTATGACTAGAATTATATGTCATCGACCAAACTAAATATTTTTCGGTATAAATATGAACATAATCAATTATATCTGATTTTAATAAATTTTCATCATATGTATTTGATGAACTAATTAATGAATGAAAATTTAATTCCGTATCATTATTTAAATTCCATTTTAAACCATTTGTAATAACATTTGTTGATTCAGCTATTGGTAAAAGACTACAATAATCTCCACGTAAACTTGATTTAATATGTATATGATTATGTCCAGGTTTTAATAAAAATGTAATATCTTCATCGGTAACTAAATATAATTGAAGTGTTGGATATAAATATAATGTATGTATATTACTCATTGCCTGATCAAATCGACCACCAAATGTACTAAATATATAAATCATATCTAATTTTGATTTTTGTGTTTGATCTAACATAATTTTTAAACATTTTACAAAATCAGTCGCATTTTGATCTGGTGTATAAATAAATGGTACATTAAATTGATTATAATAAATTCTACTTGATTCAGTTATAGAATCCATATCACCATTAATATAATCTGGTATAAATTGAGTTTTATCATTTAATGATGATATTAATGAAAATGTATGATCTTTTAAAATATTTGTACCACCATCAGCACATGCACGAATTTTTGCATTTGACCATAATGATTTTGTTAAAAGTTTTGATACACTAGTCTGTGCATAGTTTAATATAATAAGACCATATGAAAAATGACTTATTTTTTCATTATCTTGTTCAAGTACAGAATATGGATAATAGTCATGAATAATAGTATCATAATTTGTTGTCGTTGTTATCTAAATGAAAAAAAAAGAAAATTTTTTTCAATTTAAAAATTTATTTATAAAAATGTTTACATATGAAAAATCCATTGTATCATATTTCTTCATTACCTTTCTGATATAAACGATATTTAACAATTTTCGAATAGTATGTCGATAAAAACATTGCATTTTATTTTTAACTACTAACGAGAAACGATAAATAAAGTCAAAAACATACATTGCCCATATTCGGATGTATATACAGATATAGTTATTCTTATAAGTGAATGTTAGAATCTAGAAAGAGAACATAAAATTGTCTACAATATTTATGCTTAAATAGAATGTCGTTAAGAAAACGAAGTAGTTGCGTTCTATTAACATTTTATCTGAAATAGATGGGGTCAGTATGACTTCAGTATCAGATAGTTTTCTTGTCGAAAATCGAAAGGTTGACAGCATTTATTCTTTATGTAATT